GAAGACCTTTCAACCTTAGAATCCTCACTATGTGAGAAAACCTTTCGCAATCATACTTTCATGTGTATATGAGAAATCATTTCAACAACACAATAACAACATCATCAATACTTTACTTTCAAAGCATCCTTAAAACATTTACATAATTTCATAAGAACATGCTTGATTTCATAATTCACCTTTCAAGGTTCAAAACCCACTTTCAATCATCGAATACATGTGTTAGAGATGTGTTCGTAGAAATTCATCATAAATTCATGTAATTCTATCAATTCATGCTTGATTTCGTATAATATTCTTTCATAATCCAAAACCCACATCATATGATCATAACTTGGAAAACATGGGGATTTCATGGGTTCATGGGGGAATCATCGTAAAATCATGAGATAAACTCAATAAATGCATAAAAGACAACCTCTACCTATTTTGTATTTGTAAAATCCTTGTACTCTTATTCTGATTAGACACATGATTACTAACTGATTATATTTATGTTGGGATGGTTCCTTGTCTTACATTTATGTTGATTACCCTTTCTTTGCTTGGTTATAAGCTTTATGCTTCTTGTTATCGACTTCCAGTTGGTAACTCATTTCCTATGACTCCGGGTTAAGGGTTTGGCTTACCTACTAGTTGGGTATAGTAGGTGTCATCATGAACCGAGAAATTGGGTCATGAGAAGTTGGTATTAGAGCTATAGGTTGACCAACATCATTGGTATGAGAGCAAATGCATAGTAGAGTAATGTGGATTGGTGCAGAGACGTCCACATCCTATCTTTGGGAGGCTATAGGGAATTCTTAGGAAATTCTATCTTTGACTCCTAATTGTGTTCTTTTGCTTTGATTAACCTCTTAAACAAATTCTTTAGAATCTACTCTGTCTTAGAGGGATAACACAAGGTACTCAATGGACATGGATATAACATCAACACATTTCATTAGAGTTTCAGTATATGGTTGGGTTAAAAGACCTTATTTGGGAATGAACATTAAGGTTAGAGGCATTCTTAAGAATTTAAAGAGTTTGGGATTAACCCAAGCTTCAACAAGATCATTAACTACCTTGAGTTCTCGAGATTCAGTGTTAGGAGGTTCGGGCTTCTTTAAGGGTACACCACAAGCAAGTGAGGTTCTTGGTGCAGTGAGGCTTCTTAGGGTAGAGTTGGGTTGAATGGTTCCAGTCGGGTTCGTCATCTATTTTTTAGTATGTGATGGAATTTTTAGAGTGGGAAAGGCTTAGTCCCACATTGTTTCCTTCGTATCGAGAATTGATTCAGGGGTATATCGAAGGGTTAGCCTTGCAACTCTGGTTGGCGTCGGAGCATCTGATATCAATAGGATCTACCTTTCCCCAGGTTGTTTTCCATGTGAAGGCCATGGAGCAGGCTTGTCTTGAGGCTTACAAAGATAGTGGTAGGATGCCTTGCCATCACTACAATGGTTAAAAACATTCCACTTTGAGGTGGGTCATCTCCCTTCTCGACCTATCAGGCCTATGGTAGCGACATCTCTAGTTTTAAGGGGTTATACGGTAAGTTATGGTACATATGAAAGGCAAAGCTCTAAAAAAATTTCTTGTGGTGATCATCGTGGACCTATAGGTGTTGGGTCTTATATAACTCTAGTTGAGTCTTTATATCAGGTTACTCTTGGTGATGATTTCTATGAGTATGGTAAGGTAGGCCACTATGTCAAAGATTGTCACAAAGTCCAATATAGTTTGCTAGGGGTGGTTCAAAGCTTCACAGAGGTATAAAGGGCAGCTCATCGCATCCTTCATATCAAGCTTCATACTTTCGAGATTGCTATGATTGTGGAGAACTTGACCACTGGTCAAGAGAGTTCCTAAGGTGGGAGTTGATCTATTAGTCATTGCCAACATATGATATTCCCTAGGCTATAGTGGATGGACTTTCTCATATCTATTGAGTTCATGACCATGCGTTTAGAATTTATCCCCAAAGTGGGACCATGATGAGAGGTATTTAGCTATGTCAATCTTGTGTGTTGATAGCACCTTCAATCAGAGGTAGTGCCTTTTGTGTTGCGGTTCTACTGCAGGCATTTAGGTTGAGGTCGGTCATGATCCATTTTATGATTTTACGAGATGATCAAAAGGCGAGGCTCAAAGTATTCCTTATTTGGATATGATTTTATTGTCTTATCTATTTTTTTGTGTGATTTAGGGTTTTCATGCCCATTCGGGTTCTTTTGGCTTGTTATGACATCTTGATTTTAGGACTGTGTATGTTATTTGCCTCATTTAGTTGATCGACTAGGCCATGTTTCTTCGATGGGGAGTAGTGGTTGTATAGCTCCATGTGCCTTTGCCTTGGTGGTTTTGTTGTGTTGGTGGTCTTAGGATTACTGGTTTCCTTTTTTGCCACCCTTGTTGTGTGTTCTCACTCTGATGCCAATCCTTGTTGATAGGTGGCCAGACCAGCTTTTCCCGATTGAGATTTGTGTGTTGTGGGGCCTAGTTGTCTTAGGAGGTTGCCTTAGTTATATGTTGTCCTTTTATAGTAGTAGTTTGGAGATTGCTAGTGTCAAAATTGAGTGAGGGGGAGTTCAGCCTTTTGTAGATTTGTGGTGGTCCTTGTTGGCCGCTTTCTTCTTTTTCCTTTTTCTTGTTCTCGGTTGTGAAGTTTTGGTTTTTCTTGTTCGGACTTTTTGGATAATTCTTAATCCGGATGGTCTTGGAGTTTGGTTATGGCTAGAGGAAATTCGGAGGTATAATTCCTTGTTATACCTTTGTACTACTTTCATTATTTCTCATCGGGTGAGTTGATAGCTCTTGAGGTTGATTTGTGATTTGGAGTCGGAGTGGTGGTTTTCATCGGTGGCTTAAGACTCTAGATATTGTTGGAAAATAGAAATTTGCTACGAAGGTTCATCTTAATGATGGGGTCAAAGTAATCCATGATTTTGTTCTTGTTTAGGATAAGGTCTGCTTTCATCTTGCTTTACAGCTTACGTGGTTTGTGATGGGAGTTGGTACCCTTGGGCCACTACCGTCCAGTTGACTAAGTTGATAAGCCGTCACCTATTTGGTTTCCCATAGACTAGGGTGGTTTGTTAAGATTTACGTGTATCTTGTGGGCTCATGGTGTCGGTTTGTTTTAAAATTTACCTTTCGTGGAGTAGGTCAGTAGAGCCAGGCTTAGTGTAGCCTTGTCGTTTGTAGGATGGTCTTTTTTTGGGTTAGTGCAGATAGGTTGAAGAGGTTGTGTCTCAGTTGGATTTGTTGGTTTTTGAGAGTTAGGAATGAATTTTTGTCTTTACCTTAGGCTGAGTTCCTTGTTTTGGAGGATTTCATTCCTCGATGTTCAGGTGGAACATGTATTTCTCCCAAGGTTTGGGTTGTGTGGGTTTTTAAGATGATTTCTAATGGTGATGGAGATGTCCAGGATAACTAAGGATTAATAAAAGACTCTTGATTGTTAGAATATATTAGATTTGGAACATAAGGTTAGTATTTCAATTGGGGAGCTGGGTTGATTCTCCAATTTTCCAATGTTTGTACAATTTGGTGGTTTCGGTGTGGTGTTGGTTTTCTCAGATAAATGTGATGCTTTAAGGCAAGTCCGGTTCTAATGGAAACAAGTTGGAGCCCAAAAAGGAATTAAAGGAGTCTAATGTCTTTTGAAGTGGACTTGATGATTTTCCTCTTAGCCTAAATTCTGTGTAGTCAATATTCGATTCAAGAGGGTTTCAGTGGGTTTTGCGGAGCATGCGGACCTGTTATCATCGTCTTTTCATGCCTTCAGGCTATAATGGTCCTTTTACTTTTGCGGAGTAAGTCATTTTAGTAGTGTATATAATAATGACCATCTAGGTCATTTCTTTCATTTTTTGATCATTTTCAGCTTTAGAGCTTTCCTCTAGCGAACACAAGTCATTTATGAGTTTCTAGGACTGTTAGTTCGGTCTCTGGGTCATTAATTTTTTCTTTGTACAAGTTTTCATATTTCGGAGCCTTTGAAAATTGAATGATTGATTTCAGTTAAAAGTTCAACGGCAACAAAATACATTTTTTATGGTTTTGTTACCTCCAAAAGGGCCATTTTAGGCTAGGGGCATGGTTGGTTTAGGCCCCGAGGCTTTTGGTGTGAGTTTGTGCTGTTAGATGCTTTAATTTTGAAACTTGAGACAAAGTTTGACTTCGGTCAATATTCTTTGTAAATGTGCTAAGTTGAGAATTTTGTCAGCACTGTTAGCTTCAGTATGTTTATTTTTATCATGAAAGACCCTTCATGTAGTTTCTGAGGAATCTAATTTCATTCAGAGCCCCTTTGTGGATTTTGACCTAAAATGAAGCTCGGGTGTGGAATCCACTTTTCAGTGAGACGACCTTGGATGGAAGTTTTGATGGTTCTATTTAGTTTGGTTTGCCAAATTTTGTGGGTTAGCATATCTCGTCTATTTTCCTCAGGTGCCACATTAATCTCGTATGTTCAAAGATTTTGAAAAATAGCAAAATCTGGTGTTGCTAGTTCAAACTCTTAACGACCAGAGTTTAGGCTTTTAGAGAATGATTTTGACTTATAGTGACCATATTGCTACTATTTAAATCCCAAATTTTCAATTTCATGCTTCATTTTCACGATGCAATTTCTGGAGCTATACAACTTTGATTAAGCTGATTTTAGTTGCGTTGGTTTGGGGCTTTGCGTTGTTACGTGATGGAGTGATCAGAGAAAATTGAAAGTTGTCATTCTGAAGTAACTTCCCCAAGGGGATGCCTAAACTTCATTTTTTTTTGTTTTAATGGTAATTTATTGCATGGGCAGTTTTAGCACATTTCTGAGCTCATATTAAGCCCATATTTGGGGCACAAGCTCCTTAAGCTATCTACAAACTTTTGATATAATCAATTTAGGGATTATCAGTGCGAGTTCTACATTCTCATTTTGACTCAATTTTGGGTCCATTCATAACTATTACAAATTTAGTGTTTAAATGTTCGTAATGACATTGTGATTAATAATTTTATAGCATGAAATTGTTCAAAGGCATTTCATAAGAGATAGCTCATGTGCGGTGGTACGGAGCACGCGTGATTGGCTTTGAGGTAGGCTTCAATTTATTTTCTTGATTGGGATTTTTATATAATGTATAGTATAGATTGCATGTGATTTAGGATTATATTTGTTGGGTATTAGTTCCCCTACCATTCATTCTATTGTTTCTTTATTTCGTAGGATATTTGGTCCTTTTGTAAGTGTCGATATCCTTAGTTTATGCTTGTAGCCTCTTTTGTAGTAAAGATTAGCATGTTTGCCCTAGTTAGGTTTGATACTAATGGCCTTAGGCTAGGTTTGAGCATTAGATGCCTTAGACTGTGTTTTATCCCCTTTATAATTGTGAATTGCTTCCTTTATGGCTTGTATTGGGTTGTTCGTCTTGTGTTGGTGCTTGAGACTTTGGTAGGTCGTAGTAGCCATTGGTTCGCACTAGATGTGCTCAATCATGGACTCGAGCAGCATGATTGTGGTAAGGCATTGTCCATTGGGTTTTTCTCCCTCTTTGATTTACTCGGTAGCTTTTCCTAGTCCCTTTGCTTGCTGTTTAGCAGTAGGTTTGCTATGATACTTTTATCTTTGACTATATTGTTGGTCCCAAGGTCCTGTTTGAGGACCAATTGGATCCCATGTTAGTACTCTCCTCCTTGGTAGCGTGGTTTGATTTGACTTATTTTTATTTTATTGCTAGTGCCTTTATTGTTTATTCTGAAGTGTTTTGTGGTACGATCCTAGCTCATGCATTGGCTCATCATTATCATTCATGGAGAATAATGTTTCCACTCGGATTTTCTTCTACTCTGGCTTTAACTGGAGTTGTACCACCTGGATCACTAGATTTACTTATTTTAAGAAGGCAAAAGGGTCTGGTGGACCCTTGTACTTGTAAGAATTTGTATTATGGACTCTTCTATTTAATATTTTGCCAACGGAACCTTAAACTCAATACAATATTGTATATCAAACCCCTCTGACCATTGACCATGTTGATGTGGCATTAAGATAGTTGAGTTGGAAAGAGAGTGTATCTACTCGCGTGTTAAAGGCAAGTGAATACCATATTTCAATTAAAAAAATATTAAAATCATACAAGAATAAAACTAAATAAAATAAAATAAAAAAACATTTTTCTTCACCCACTCAACCCTTTTTCAACCATTATCATCCTTGCCCAATCCCTTTTTCATCTAATTTAGATCTTAAAATTGCCATTAACATATCCTTTAGTCTGCTGATTCACCGATGAAGGAGAGAGTGACGATGTTTGTCGGAGTTCGCTGAATTAGAGTGGAGTGAGAGCTAGAGAGAGGTGGCGCTGGCTCCTTTTTCTACAAAACGAGAGGAGGCGAGGAGGTTTGCTGGCCGGGAGTTGATGGTGTAGCAGCGGGTTGCTGGATTTGTGGAGGTGGAGAAGAAATAAAGGAAACTGGCAAGGATCTGTCGGAGATGGAGACAAGTGAAGGAGAGAATATGTGATTTTGCTAGCAAGAGGAGTGGCGGTGGCGACAACGACTTTCTCCGATGAAACTTGGCGATTTCACCATGGGAATGGAGGAAGATGTACGGTGGACTCCCAAATTTTAGTTTGAAGAAAAAAATTAAAATTTTATTAGATTAGTACCTTTTATTTAATAATATTGGTTAATTTTTTTAAAAATAAAAATTAATGAAGATTAATATGACATGTTATTAATTTATATGACATGGATTTGACATGTCATCTATTTAAGGGAGACTGAACTACACACATGGTAGGAGCGGTTTAAAAATCTTCTTTTGATTGAATCTAAGGGTTCAGTTAATAAATGGTTAAGTAGAAGGGTCCATAATACAAACGCGTACAAGTATAAGGATTTACTAGACCATTTCACCTTTTAAGATTTATGAGGCGTCATTGACGTGCTCCTTTTCTACCTGGGACATTAGAGGATTCATGTATGTGCTTAGATTTTACTTGACTAGCTAGCGCGCTGATGCCTTTTATTGCGTCATTTTGGCTACTCATGATCCTCTACGTAGTTGATTCCTACTATTCATAGATTAATGGCTGGTCTTATCCTCTATGGAGTCAATTTGTTGTAAGAAGTGGATTCAGTCTCATCTATGTAAAACACAAATCAACCTAATACCTTACTAAAATCTCTCTTTAGAGCATATTTGTCAATTAAAATTGAACCACCATTTCTTTTTTGAGCAAACTACAACAATCAAACCTAAATTGTAGGCATTAAGCTATTTACCCACTTGAATTGATCTCTTTCAAACATCAATTGAAGATCTAAACAAGGATTAAGTTTGCAACCTTAAACCATGAATTAATTCCATGCTAATTAACTCAAATCCATTAATGTACAACAATAAAATAGAACAAGACACAACACCTACTAAATTAAATCAACACCCAACCCCATAATCAAACCCCTATATTTTGGGGTTTTAGTCAAGCATCATAAAACGAAAAGAAATTATACCAATGATGTTTTCAGCCATTAATGTGTTGATGATAAGTAACAATCTTCAACACCTACTTAAATTTCAACCCTCAATTGTTAATTAGAAGAGTTGGTCAAAAATCCCAAAACTTTCTTTCTCATTTGGGATATTTACAGTTTCCCTAAAAATTATTTTGAAATTCCATAGGTGACCTGTTTGGCGACGTTAGTTAGGCTAACTATTCTATTTCGTCGGATCGATATTTGCTCTTCACCTCATCCTTAATTTGCTTTAAGGTTCAGGTGTTTGAACTGCAATTGGCGAACTCGATCAAGTCGGTCTTTCACATTCAAAGAATTGCCAATTACATCCTTGTTCTCCCATTCAACCCTCAATTTAACTCAGGAGTCTGTCACCTTCGGCAATGGAAGTTGTAGCTCGCCCAATAACTTCGGCGAATCTCCAATTCCACTTTGGTTCGCCAACATGCCTTGAATATTTTCAAATGTACACACTCTCACTACAGGCTATGTATGACTTTTTGGGCCATCCACCCTTTTGGTTAGGCGACTACTAGCTTAGAGTTTACACTCTTTTCAATGTTTAGGCCTTTTTTCATAGATTCATCCTTACATTGTCCTTTATCCCTCATAGCTGTAAAATATCAACATATCAGTAAAATAGGACATACATAGGCATTGAGGACACTAATAGTTGAATTAAAAAGTCCTCAAATGAGTGGAAATCCACCATTCATCAAGGTTCTAATTAACTAATGGTTTGACCTTTTACGCTTGTGTTGAATGCCATTAAGAGAAATAAAGGGAAGACTACTTGTTTGTAAAAAAAATTAATGATCTAGATTACATTACTTACTCTTTTGGCACTTTCTTCTAAGCCTTTTAATTTGTTTTCCTCCTTTGGCTATGACAGTTATATCTTAGTGATCAACTTCTTTCATAATTCCGATAAGCACAGAATTATGTTGTTCTTTTCAGTCCATTCCAATCAACTTCTCTTTTCTTTTTTAAAATCCTCTTGTGAGGAAAAGCATATGGTTGAGAATCAAGTTTAGATCAGGGCCGTGAAAATGGTGTTTCTTTTAGGATTGGATCTAGACGACATGTTAGAAGACAAATCTTATTTGGTATCATGGAATCATCAGAGAGAAAGTAACAAAAATATGTTGTGAACCAAACTGTGTACATGAGGGCCTATTGTTGGAAGGGGTGAATGAGACCGATCAATTTAAGATTATCGGGCAGATTAGAATGTTGGGCAGTTTTATTTGGGATCCAGACCCCATTATAAATTTGTTAAAGATGTCTAGGAGTTAACACAAAAGAGTTATGCAAATTGAAGAAAATTGTTTGTTCCTTTCTTTTTCTTCTAGAGTCTAATGGCTTCTCATTCCAATTCTTCTCTCTATCTGAGTTACTTATTATTTCAGTATTTCCATTGTAATTCAATTATTTGAGTATTGCAGCTACAATTCTTAAGTTATAGTCGCATTCTATTATTCTTATTATTATAGTGATGAATTTGGGTGAATTATAATTTTGATAGGATAGAAATTCAGCGTGGCAAAGGGCCATTGGTTAATGATATGAGAATGAACTTATGCAATACATATCGCCAAATTAGTACAATGCTTTAAACAAAGTTGAAGTGGCTCTATCGTTGGATGATTCTTCAGCATCCCTGATCAGGAAGTTGGCCATCAACATCATGTTGGGGATAATTCTAATTCACACTCTCTTATTCATGCAATTGGGTGTGACATGTCTATATGCTGTCTCATTCCTTTCTCTAGCTCAGATTACAGTGCCATGGAATCTTTAATAATAGCTTTGACTCATTAATCAGGAGTGCGGCGGCAAAATGGTGTGATTGAGCATTGGGTTTATTTCTCTTGCCAGGGTCTTAATGGGATGTTTTGACCCCCATCACTATCGTTGGATGCATCTTCCAACTATGAGTCCCCGTGAATGATTTTTTTTCCCTAACAAGGAGTTTTTTTGTGCAGTTAGCATAGAACTTCTTGTGTTTGGAAAGGATATATTGTCACGTGTCATTTACCGTTGCAGTTTATTGACAAACACTTGATCATATGGAATGTGGATGAATGCACCAAGATGCTTGTTTGGTTCTGCTAGCCTTGGGGAGATTGCTATTTTAGCTGGTGGTTGTGACTTACTAGGCAATATCCTCAGCTAAACAGAAATTTATAATTAACATGCAGGAACATGGAAGAGCTTACTAAGCATGAACAAGTGACGTAAGAAGTGTTCAGGGTATTCTTGGATGGAATGTTTTATGTGATAGGAGGTGTTGGAGGAGCTAAATCAAAGTGGTTAACTTGTGTGGAGGAATATGATCTGGAAACGAGAAAATGGACTGAAAATCCAAAACATGCCTCCTAATGCAGATAGGAATGATACACATGCTACTTATGACAGCCACCAAATGAGGTTCTCCATATGTAGCATGTGTATCATTCTTATATGCATTAGGAGACATGCGTTGGATTTGAGTCCATGCTCTTGTTTCCAGATCATATTCCTCCTCACAAGTCAACCACTCTGATTTAGCTCCTTCAATGCCTCTTATCACATTAAACATTCCATTCATGAATACTCCAGAACACTTTTTATGTGGCTTGTTCATGCTCAATAAACTTTTCCATGTTCCTGCCTCTGAATTATAAAGTTCAGCTGAGCTGAGGATATTGCCTCGTGAGTCACAACCACTAGCTAAAATAGAAATCTCCCCAAGGCTGGCAGAACCAAACAAACATCTTGGTGCATTCATCCGCATTCATATGACCATGTGATTGTCAGTAAGCTGCAACAATGAATGACATGTAACAAGATCTCATTTCTAAACACAAGCAGTTCTATGCTAACTGCAAAATAACTCCTCGTTAGAGAAAACAAATCACACGGGATTCATGGTTGGAAGATGCATCCAACGATAGTGATGGGGTTCAAAAACATCCTATTCAATAACCTGGCAGAAGAAATAAGTTGAATGCTAAATCACACCATTTTGCCACCGCAATCTCTAAAGCTCTCCGCTCCTGATTAATGAGTGAAAGTTATTATTAAAGATTCCATGGCAATGTAATCTGACATAGAAATGAGACAACATATTGACATGTAATGCCCAATGGCATGAATAAAAGTGTGTGAATCAGAATTATTCCCAGCATGACGCTCATGGCCAACTTCCTGATTAGGGGATGTTGAAGAATTATCCAATGATAAAGCCATTTCAACTCTGTTAAAAGCGTTGTACTGATTTGCTTATATGAATTGCACAAGTTCATTCTCATATCATTAACCAATGTCCCTTTGCCATGCTGAATTTCAATCCTATCAAAATTATAATTCACCCGAATTCCTCACTATATTAATAAGAATATTGGAATGTGATTACAACTTTAGAATCGTAATTGCAATACTCAAACAATTGAATTACAATGGAAATATTGAAATAATAAGTAACTAAGATAGAGATAAGAATTGAGATGTGAAGCTTTTAGACTCTAAAAGAAGAAGAGAGGAGCAAACATTTTTCTTCAATATGCATAACACTCTTGTGTTAACTCCAAAACCTATTTAACCAATTTATAGTTTGGTCTGGATCCCAAATAAAACTCCCCAACATTTGAATCTTCCCAATAATACCAAATGGATCAATCTCATTCATCCCTTATAGCCATAGGCCTTTTTGTAGTTAGTTTGGTTTCACAACATATTTCATGTTACTTTCTTTCTAATGATCTCATGATACCAAACAAGATTTATCTTCTAACCTTTCATCTGGATTCAATTCTTAAAGAAAAACCCTTTTCGTGGCCTCGCCCTGATCTAGATTCTCAACCATGTGCTTTTCCTTGCAAGAGTATTTAAAAAATAAAAGGAGAAGTTGATTAGAATGAACTGAAAAGAACAATATTTTCTACTATATTTGTTGAAATTCTACCAAAGGAGCTGATCAGAATTATGAAAGCAGTTGATCACTGCTATATAAGTTTTATAACCAAAAGAGGAAAAAAATAATTAAATGATTCAGCAGAAAGTTACAAAGAGTAAGTAATGTAATCTAGATCATTAATTGTAACATCCCGGAAAAACTAGTAGGTGAAACTAGAGCCTTACGAGTTAGTTGTTGAGTTTAATGTAGGGTTTTATGTTGTAAAGTAATTTCCTGAGCTTAGGCTGAGGGGTTAAATGTCAAGGTACGACCCCCCAAGGACCAACCAAGGGTCCTTGAGGAGGACCCTAAAGTCTAACCCCAAGAACAAAAAATCTGCCAAAAAGTTAGGACCTACGGATGGGACCTACTGGGCGTAGGTCCATCTACACTCCGTAGCTCCAACTCGTGGGTCAAGACCTAGAAAAGTGAGCTGCAGAACCCTCACCCACGACCTGGAGGATGGGGCGTAGGTGGACGCACGGTCCGTGGGTCACACCTACACCTTTCTGTCCAATCTCTGCCAAGGCTTGGTTATTTTAGGAAATTCCAAATTAATTAGTTAATGAATGGGGACGGTTTATATTGTTTATTTCACTTATTTAATACCTTTTAAACCATTAACCACCCCTTTACACTTCATAATTCCCAACACCCAAATAATAACCAACTTCCCTCTCCAATATTTCTCTCTCTAAAACCTCCATTGAAGAAGAAGAAGAAGAGGTCAAGGTCTAGGGATCAAGAGCTCAACTTTTCCACTCAATTTCGTAAGGAATATTCATATGCTATGGTGGCTTTTCATTTATGGGTAGCTTTCACCCATAGAGTCCCTTCAAAACTTGATTTCTAAGCTTCCAATTTCCCCAAACCTAGGGTTTCAATCTAAGTCATGGGTTCTCTTTCAAAATGTTTTCAATGGTTGATTTATGATGGATTATGATTGAATTGATGTTTAATTATTGATTTATGATGAAATCCCCCCAAGAACCCATGAATCCCCGATAATACTAAATTGTGAATTCATGATGTGGGTTGATTGATTATAGAAGCATGTCAATTGATTATATCTATATTGATTGAGTTATTGAATCATGATATTCCCCTATCTAATGTAGTAATTATAGATGTTGGGTTGAGTTTGATTTCTAGCCTTGAAGGGAAAATTATGAGGGTTTGTACATGTTGATTAGAATTGTGTATGAGCTTATATTTCACTTAGAAAGTGAAGATCCTATGACTATTGTGTAATTGTGGTATTATTGTGGAAGGACTTTACCCACATGACCTACAATATGAGTACATGATCTTATGCATATAATGAATGGACTACTTGAATTACAATTATACCCATGTCTAATGTACGCTAGATGTGTTGAATTGTTGTGATCTATGATCCTTGTATGCAAGATATGAAGAATTATGCATGGTTGTGATATTATGTACATGCTTTATGAACACTTTGAGAGTGAAGTGTCTAAGATGAAAATGTTGTTGTTGTGTCATTGAAAGGACAATAGCACACTCTCCATGTATGAGTATGATTATGATCTATCTATGGTGTTAGTTGAAAGGCTATTTCTCATATGCACCTCTACACATTACTATGCATGAAATGTACATGACCATGATAATCTTCTTGCGTTGATTGAAAGTCTATTCTCATGAAAACATATGATTATAATATGAAAGTTTTCCTCACATAATTAATGATGATTCTAAGGTTGAAAGTCCATTCTCACCTAATGAATCTATGAGCTATTTTATGAGTTGTGTTGGATGGAGGGTAAGATACTCCTTCATGCATGTAAATTCAATTGAAGACTAAACATGAAATTTTGGGAAATAATGCTTAGATCTGAGTGGATATGGAAAATGAGGTAGAGGCCCTCCCATCAATTGAATAGGCTGGGTTCTCTAAAGATAATCTCATCAGATGGAAGCTCCCCCGTCAATACAATAGGTTTGGAGTTTCTAGAAGCAATCTGCCTATTCCATGACTATGTGCCCACATAGGTCTTTAGCTAGTGGATCCACCTAAAAGTTAATACATTTAGTTCTACCTTAGGCAAGTAGGACATCTCTTTTCGGTGTGGGACATGACACCGGATTCCATGTAGCTCAACATGGTCTATGTCGGTTAAGGCTATTTTCCCTCCATGAACAAGAACATGAGTTATATACTATGGTTCCTCAAGAGATTCTACTTAGTATGAATGTGGGTATGAAACTTCATTCATGCATTGCACAAGTAGGCTTTGAGAGTGGGCGTGGTATGTTTATCATATGACATGATGATTATGAGTTAATGTATGCTTTATATGAATTATGAACTTAAAAATGAACTATACTTATGACTTCTTAATGAGCTTTACTTTGTGTGAGTAGGGGTATGGGACTTCACTTATACATTGTACAAGTAAACTTTGAAAGGGGTTATGGTGTGGTTTCCTTATGCTTACGAAGATATATGAATTGATGTATGTATGGTATGAAGTGTTGCTAATAGTGACTTTCCTTGTTAAAATCTATGAACATGAATGTTTCCTTGTCTATTATTATTGACTATGGATGAGATCAAAGCATGATAAGTATGAGCATGGTGGCCTAAAAGTGATACTTAGTGTAGATAGGATTATGAGATTCTATCTATGCATTTCACAAGTATGACCTAGGGTTACTTATGTGATGGTTCTATTATGATGAGATGATCTTGGTATTTAACTATGCATGTCTATGTCTTGTAAAGATTGGGGTATGCATTATGTTTATGTTGGAGACTATGCTTGTGATTATGATGAATTGTACATGAGTTGTCTTATGAGCTACATTCCCCAACTATGTCAAAGATGATGTTCAAAATTGACATATAGCATGATTTCAACTAAAATGTTCCTTTTTGCTTGTTTTAAGGATTTTTATGCATGGCTTCCATACTTAGTGAAATCTTTGTACTAACCCATATTTCTACATTTTTCTATAAAGTGTAGGGTTTGGTGATATCGGCTTCTACTCTCGTGGCTAGGACCATAGTAGATCAAGAAGAAGAAGATTGGTGAGTCCTCATAGTAATCGAGGGCTTGACCATTATGTCCTTTAAGTCTTTCTTTTATACTTTAGACTTTTTTAAGGTCCATGTCCCTAGGATTGTATTCAAGTGTTATAGATGGTTTGAGACATAGTGTTGTAGACTCCCATTTGGTTTTTATAAGAGACTTCAATTGTAAAGAAAAGTTCTAAATTTCCGCACTTTTTCCTATGTTCTTATGTTATGATATGCTATGAGGCTTGTATGAGGCTTTTCGGAGTCTTGTACGCCATGTCACGTCTAGGGAGTAGCCTTGGGTCGTGACATTAATTCATTTTAACAAACAAGTAGTCATCCCTTTATTTCTGTTAATGACATTCAACACAGTATAAAAGGTCAAAACATTAGCTAATTAGCACCTCTCCATCCTTCCTGTCACTACCCCATTTCTTAGGTCATGATGGAGCCTACTTTGCCCAACTAGTAGGTAAGACTAACCCTTAACCCGGAGCCATAGTCAATGAGCTACTAATAGAAAGTCAACAACAAGAAGCATAAAACTTATAACCAAGTGAAGAAAGTGTAATCAATAGAAATGTAATACAAGGAACCATCCCAAAACCTTACATCAGTGAGTAATCAAGTGAATAATGAAATAAGAGTACCAGGATTTTACAAACACAAAATGAGTACACGATGTCTCTAAATGTAATATAAAGACTAAGACCATCTCCAACCCATCTTTATTTTACTCTCCATTCTCTATATTTGGAGAGTAAAATAGAGAGTGGGCACTCCAACCCACCTTCATATCACTCTCTATTCTTAAATAGAGAGTGTGAATAGTAGTTCTCCAAATTTGGAGAACTACTATTCACACTCTCTATTTCACTTTTTGAATATTTTATTATTATTTCTATTACTTTCTAATTAACATATTAGTTTACATATAATGCCATTAATTAATTATCTAACATTCATAATTCTTTTCAAATGTAATATAATATTTTTTTAAAATATGTTATTTAATATATACTACTTTATCCTAAATTAATAGTATTTTATTTTTTTCTAATTTGTCAATAATATAATTTTATTTTATTATTAATTTTCACTATAAAGAATACACAAAATACATAATATGATAATTTAAATATAAGATAACAATACAATACATAACATAATAATTTAAATACGAGATAAAAACAATGCATAACATAATAATTAATTCTCAATGAAACAAGAATCATGCGAAAAGATACTGAATGTGCATTTGGAGTTTTGCAATCACATTTTGCAATTATATATTGCAGGACCGTCAAGATGCCATAGAGGCTCCAACTCCAACGACAGAAATGGTGGTAGATGAAAATCTCCGATTTGAACAATTTTTAGCTAGAC